TGTTGGAAAAGCACCAGGTCCAGATGGCTTACCAGCGGAATTTTACAAGACTTTCCAGGAAATATTGAATCTTCACCTATTAGAAGTTATGAACGAAGTTATGCTAAAGAAAAGAATACCCAAAACATGGACAGAAGCATATAATACACTTATACTGAAGGAGGACACAGACCTGCAGCAAATTAAAAATTACAGACCTATACCCCTATTAAATTCAAACTATAAAATTTTTGCTTCAATTCTGGCAGAAAGACTAAAAAGATATTTAAATAATTTTATTCATATTGACCAAAATGGATTCCTGCCAAAGAGACAAATCAAAGACAATGTGAGAATTATTTTGAATACTCTGGAATACTATGAGGTACATCCTGAAAAACAAATGGCCTTGATGTTTTTAGATGCACAAAAAGCCTTTGACAATGTGAGTTGGCTATTCATCTTATTTCAATTGACACAAATGGGCTTTGGTAAAAAAATTATTCAAGCCTTTGAAATGATATACCACGAACAATGCAAAGGTTATGGTAAATGGCGAACTAACAGAATCTATAGATATAAGAAAAGGGACAAGGCAAGGTTGTCCACTGTCGCCCCTGTTGTTTGTGTTAACATTGGAAGTGTTGAATAGGAATATTAGAGAAGACAAAGAAATAAAAGGAATGAAAATCAAAAAGGAAGAGTATAAATTGCAAGCCTTTGCAGATGACCTGGTATTTATATTAGAAGAGCCATTGGAAACAGCACCTAAACTAATAGAAAAAATAGAAGAATATGGAAAAGTAGCAGGTTTGAAAATAAATAAAGATAAAACAAAGATATTAACAAAGAATATGTTAGCAAGACGAAAGAAAGAGTTAGAAGAAGTTTTAGAAATACAGGTCACAAACAAGGTTAAGTATTTAGGGATATGCATTACACCAAGATGTAGCATGCTGAAGGAAGATAATTATCTTAAACTCAAACAGCAGGTTGCGACAGATTTGATAAAATGGGGAAATTTATAATTATCACTGATTGGGAGAATATCTACAATGTATTGCCTGGAATTTTATATCTATTCCAGACAATTCCAATCCGACTAGGGAAAGAGTTTTTTGAAGACTTAAATAGAATTGTGCTGAAATATATTTGGCAGGGCAAAAAAGCAAGAATAAAACTAAAACTGTTACAAGATGCAGGATTAAGAGGAGGGTTTGCCTTGCCCAACTGGGAGTTGTATTACCAGGCAACAAATCTGATGTGGGTAAAGGAATAGATAACACTAAGGAACAATAGACTATTGACCTTAGAAGGGCATGACTTGCTGTTGGGATGGCATGCCTTCCTTTGGTACAAGGGAACTAAAACACAGGGGTATTTTAGAAAACATTACATCCGAGAGGCATTGTTTTTGAATTGTGAGAAGATAAAAAGACAATAATATTTAAAAATTCCATCATGGATATCTACCATTGAAGCTTTTTCTTATCCAAGGAACAAACAGTTAGATATGGTGAGATATTGAATGAAAAACTTTATGGACACTTATTAGAATTTAAATTGGAGGAGGAACAAATTAAAGAAACGATTGTTTGGGGGGGAAATTTTGGATATGGGATTGATTTAGAAAAATGGCAAAAATTGTGGTCTCAAAATTATAAAATGACAATGTCAACTGCATAATCTGCAGTTCTGCCCACTATTTTAGTCCCCTTATTCCTCTAGCAGAGAATAAGAGCAAAGTGGATGGACTCAGCTAAAGTGGCAATGAATGCACCATTGGGAGACTTGAAAGAACAGATTAGGGATAGATCCATCATAGAAAAAAAGATCTATCTTTGTAGTTGTTAGCAATTGAAAATGATTTTATGGCACATAATTAATCAACCTGCCTTGCAGTTGACTGTATAAAAATGCATTGGGGGATTTTCTTTCTGTTTTTTTTCCTCCATAGCCATGTTGCCAGATATAGCTGATTTTCATACTTAAGTCTATTTTTTACTGGCTTCTCCAGCTACATCAAATTTAATCCTATTCTGTTTAGGTTGGGGTTTTTTTATAGCTTTTTTAGCATTACCACGTTGACCCACAGATGGGTAGTGCGTCCTGAGTTCCTTTACATAATTTTTCCAACATTCTTTTGGTTGGAAAAAATAAAAAAGTAGGTGGGAAAAGAACTGGAATAGAGAAGGGCAGGGCTGAGACTGGAATGCTCAATAGAAACAATCCAAATTATAATTTTTTTTGTGGTCCTGTTTTGCGTAGAAAAATATACACACATGCATACAATTTCCTATTCTTTTTTTTTGCGTTATAAAATGGACCGTATTGTTAATTTTCTAGTGCAAGTCAAATGACAAATACATTTCTTATATAAATCAGTGTATGCCAGACAACAGGGACAGATTCAACTCAGAAAATCTACTAAATCCCCCCTTTTTAATGTATTTTTAAAAAAGTGATATAATCTTGTAATGTGTTATTCTTACTCATTAAGCATCTTAGTTTAAAAAAGCACACACTTCTGAAAATGAGAACCACAAAATTCGAGAGTGTTCATACTTGGCATAAACTCCAAGAATTGTGGAATTATTGGGGTTCTCTGAGCCTTGTTTTTAAAACTCCAACTTAGTTGTAACAGAACTCTCAAGAACTCTAGTTTTAGAGAGGGCGTAGAGCCCGGAAATGGTGTTCTAACATCATCTGAGTAAGACCCAAGAAAGTACTGCAAAATGACAAATGCTAAATTAATCTTTTTCAATTCCACAAACTTCACGAGTTTCAGGGGCAGAAGTGTGGGAGAGGAATTATAAAGGAGGATTTCTCTCAATCAATTACTACAAAAGTTTCTGCCCTTGATATATACTGAATTTGTCAAGAAG